GAAGCAGGTCAATCAGGAATCAGGAATCAGGGCACTAAAGTTTAAAGAAGCAGGTCAAATCGGGTAAGTTGAGGTTACGACCTCAACCATGAGGTTTCTCTCGAGCAGCTCCCACCCAAAGCAGAACTTCATGAGGTCAACGAGCACCTCAAATCCATTTAATTGAAATATGAGCCACCAAGTGGCTGGAGAGCTTCAATTTGAAGAAGCAGGTGAATTGGGTCAATTGCTGTTAAGACTGCCCCATCTAATTCTTTGTGTATGTAAGTGTATGTGTGTGTTTTTTGTGTGTGGTTGTTACACTGTTCTGTTTAACAACTTATTTCTTGTACACGCACATCCATGCACACAATTACAAACAAGCCTACACACTGCATGAAAAGTGAGATTTTCGTCCCCGTAAACGCCCGTAAATCTCCCTAATTTCCGTCAGTTTCCGACAATTTGCAACCCGCGCACGTCGCATTTGTCTGTGCCACAAATTGTCGGAAACGAACCATGACGTAGGTGGAGAGCTGGCGGAGGTGCGAATGGCCCTAATTAGCATATGAATGCAGCGAAACCGCGGGTTGCCGAGCCGAGTGGGCTTGAATCCTCCTTATTGGATGAAACCACAACTTTCTAGGTGAACAAGAAAAATCACTCGTGATTGGCAGCAAAACCACACCTGGGCAGGCCAGACTTGAGTTTCCTTGTTCATGATTGGATGAAACCACAACTTTCAATCACTCGTGATTGGTTGGCAGATCTGTCGCTATTGGTCACCCGCCTCATTTTATTTATATATTCATATTATGCTGTATATTCATTTCATTGTTATCCTATGTAGGCTACTACACTATTATTAGGATACCAACCAACCAGGCTTTATTAACAACATACAAACAACAACTATATACAAAGTGAGGTTCTGCCCACACTTGTGTCAAGGCGGTTTAAAAAACTACAGCTCCGTAAACTGTCCGTTTGCCTCCTCCGGGTTTGTAGACCGTCACTGGCGGCGTGTTTTATGAGGCAGGTCTGTTGTGCAGGTGCCTAGTGTGCGTGGCTCTGTATTTCTGAGTCCTCTAACCGGGACTGCACTCAGAAATGGCGGCGACCGTACAATCCACCCCGAGACCCCGCCAACAACGCCATCCTCTCTGTCCGACGTGAGCTCTGCGGTGGCGGATTTCCAGAGTTCCACCTCGTCATCAGCCAGCACACTTTGTCTCGATTCCAGCAGCTGTAAAAACAACAATGAATCAGTACTGTGCGACACCTCTATCAATGCACCTGAAAAAAGTCAGCAAATTAACTCTTACCCTCTTTCTTCTCGCTCGACTCCGCGCCGAATTCTTCGCAGCTTCCGCCCGCAATGAGAGTTCCGGCTGGGAAAACCTGAAGCTCCTGCGTACCGTCTCAAAATACGTCTTACAGGCGGCTGGAAAACAATTAAATGAGTGTGGTATGAATAAAAATTCAAACGCAAGTCACAGTAACATTTAACAAGGAAGGAGAAACAGTAAACAGTGTCACTTATACACAATGACGTCGCCTAAATCTGGACTTACAAATAAATACGAGGTCACCGGCTCATTATGAGGCGAGATTAGTCTGTGAAAACAAAATGTACAGTTATGATCGGTATCCATCCTATGGTATCTATACGTATATATTTCCTTATACCGCAGAATGAAAGCATATTCTTTAAATCGTACCCTTGCTCCGGTTCGTAGCGCCTGTAATTCGTCTTGGAGTTGTGAAGACGGCGCACCGCTTCCTGTAAACGACACGGCAAAGAAAATACACTTTAATAAAGCTGTTTCTGCTCACTTGTAAGGCTACTAGGCTACTCTTAGCTTTCGTTTTAGGCTACGCTACTTTTAGCTTAGCTAGCAGTCATCGAACATATTCTTACCGCTATCTTGGGATTGTGCGCCCGTCTCCTCTTCTTTGAGTTAGTTCCTCCAGAGCCGCCAACCTCTCCTCTATGGACAGCAACCTGGAGAGTCCCGAACGCTCCAGAGGAGTTGAAGGCGAGTTGAACGCAAGACGTCGTCCAGCCATTATTCACGAACCAGCAAAAACCAAACAAAGGAACTGGAGATACAGTTCTTCTGAATATAGTAACACGTGTCTGTTTGTATGCTCGTCTTGCAAGTACTGCTGTCTGAGTCATGCCTATGACCTCACACGTGATTGGACGAGGAGTCTAAGGGTCCTCCAATCACATACGAGGTTATTGTTATACGGAAGGACCAGTATTTTAGGAAGACAAATGGTTGGGACTTTGAAACAGCTGATATGCTTTATGTAAAGCAGTGTTTTGGTGTCAGCAGAACGACTTTCCCTAGAAAACTGTACAGTGGTGCCTCTTTCTCCATTCCACCAGACAATCTTGGATGAGTCTGACATACATGCAATGTTGACAATGTATCATCAGATGTACCCTTGTGTCACTGAGGTTGAATGTTTTGCCATGACATGTAAACGGGTAACATATATGAATGCAACTTACTCAATCGATAGATGCAGAGCATAAAGGTCAGCATATGTTAATGCTAAGTGGTGTGGAAACACTAACAGTTTTGAGGAACCCGTCCTTGACCCTCTAGCAGAACTACGACCAGCCATTATAAAAGCAGTTTATAGTTATTAATGTTGTGTCAAAGGGTACGGCATTTAAACATGTTCTTGCAGAAGTTTCCTGGCTTCATCCCCACCCGGACAGACATTTTTATGGAAAGCCAATAGAAGTTTGGGGCTTGCAGGGAACAGATACGTCATACCCAGCATCATTTCTGCCAGTTGAGCGCATTGCTAGAAGATGTGTGGTTAATACATCCTCTGTGCATTTAAGTAAGACCAAAGAAAAGGTCACTGTAGTCCTACCACTATGCACTGTAGTTGAGCTCTAGGAGACTGTGATCTCTGCAGACCCCTCATTCTGATTCAAATGTTGTTTGCATGGAATGCTCATTTTACCTTGATTAAAACTCATTTTTTAAAGAAGTTACTTTGTGTATCTTTTTTTATATAACATTTGCCATTGCTAATGGCGTACACAGTAATCTAGCATATTTGAATTAAATAAATCAATTCAAGCTCAAATGTAACAGTCTATAATTAGGCTGAGTCTGATCTATTTGTACCAGAGATTTTCTTACCTTTTAAAAAAATGTCACCTGGGCTAAAACTCCCTCTGCGACCCTGATTTGCATTTGTATAGCTCACAGCATTTTAATTTACATGTCAAAGCCACTCCTAGAATTAGGAGTGAATGAAATTCTACAACAATTTACAGTGCTGCATACTGCCGAAAATCCCACTTTTCATGCAGTGACACGCCCACACACACTCACGCAAAACATTTTTTTGTACGCACGCAGTCATGCACAAATAAACACTGTTCATGCGCATAAGAACACGCAACTTGTTAAAAGTTTCAGATATGTGTTTTATGTAAATGTGTTTTATTTGTCAGAAAATAAATACTGACAAAGAAAGACGGTTTTGTCTCTTTTTGTTGGAAATTGAGTTAGAGACAGATATTTGCCCAATTATGTGTTAGATAACTCATCCCTTCCTCCTACATACGTCACATCCTATAGACCTATCCTAGGAGGGATATCTAATGGACAACCTAAGTACTGCAAGCCAGACTATTATGCAGTTGTAGACACAACCCAGGGGGTCCCTGGGCCTAGAAGACTAAAATGTAATTAGTTTTTGTTGACGAAAACTAGACTAAAACTAAGAAGGATTAAAATGACTAAATGTTACCAAAACTAATATGCATTTTCGTCTACGGACTAAATCAAAAATAGCTGCCAAAATTAACACTGCTTAATGGAAGGCTTCAGAAATGAACACAAAGGGATTCTGTATTTGCTCACAAAGCTGGAAACTGGTCATTTGGCCAATGTTTTGATAACTGACCGGTTTCCCCTGCCCCCGAAGTTGTAAACCTTAGGGGGAACACAGCAGTCTACCTAATCAATGGAAACAATGTGTGTGTGTGGGTTCGTTTTATTTGTTTAGTCATATAGCATGCGCGGTCGATACATATGTCCCTCTATAATATCGCCATGTTCCCATCATCCGAACGGCAGGTTGTTAAATCTGAAACCACCTTTCTATCATTTGAAAAAGGAACCTGCCTCCGACCACTTTTTGCACTCATCGTCACTCTTGCCTTCCGTTAGTGTTGGTGGCGTTGAACCTGGAGGGCTTTAGCCTGCTAGTTTACGCTTCAGTTACCCACGTGTGTACCCCTAAGGTGCACTAGATACGGTACAGGTACACACGCCGTTCTTTTGCGCACAACAATTCTTTTTGTTACAAGTGAGACCCCTTAACCTATATTTCTCCTTCATTGATGTGTTAAATATACTTAGTGACGAATGTTCTCCCTTCTATTGAAAGACCCAAAAAGAAGATTTTAATCAATTGTACATAACGTTGACATGAAACCTGTCACTTTTCTTAGATTCAGAATTAAAGTTCAATAAGTGGACCTGAATCAGACCTTTCCATCATCTTCTGATCAACACTCATTGCAGCTTGTACTTAGTAATTGGTCTCTCACCAATTTGCTGTTTTACCTTTATTTTATATCCAATTGTAATTTTTCAGACAACTCATGTGCTTGCCTACAGCCCAATGTTTTAGTCAAAATATACATAAAAACACATGTAAAAATATAATTTTTATGCGTATTTTAACAGAATGGGAAGGGGAATAATACCTTTTAAAAAGGGGGTGATTATTAAACGTTCTGTATTGTTTTTCTGTAGAATACAGACCCTTCTGTCCAGGCAGTTCAACTTGGAATAGTCACAGTGGTTGAAGGTGACGGTCCGCTCAACAACAACAACAAGCATTGCCCTGGATATTGAGTAACGGATTGTCCTGTATGATGTATGAGACATCTCAACAGCATTGCCCTTTTGTTGGGCTAATCTATGGTCTGTTTTTTTACTAAATGCCAGTGGTATAAATTAATACGCACACAGATGTAAAATCAAAAAACAGATATTTAATGTTTGCAAACAGGAGACAGAGTTGACACATATACAAGTCATGCACAAGGTAACTCAAAACGTTTTTCATCTTCGGGGGAGGAACATATAGTTAGAAGATAAATATGCTAAAACGGGGGGGGGGGGCTCTGGGAAAAACCGAGGTGCTGGTAGTTGACGTTGGATGTAGACGATCTGTTATGATGTGCAAACGGGCCCAGATGCAACACGCAGGACCACCAAGGTTTCTCTTTCTCCAACAGGGGTTATTTATTTTCTCCGGCAGGGAAAAAACAAAGGCAAGACGAAAACACAAGTCAATGGTGAGTGACAGGCAGAGGAACTTGACTGCGTGACACCCGAGGCTCGACGCAGGAGTATGTAGGTGCTCAGCTGACCTCCGTGGAACTAACTGGCTACCTCTTCGGCCAGGTGAATCTCCGAGGTTCGACGCTGGACGGCAAGGGTGAAAAACAAGGGGTTATCGCAGGATCATAAGGGCTGCAACAGAAAAACTCACGGAGCCGAGGTACCGGGGTGGCTTAACGGACAGACTGACAGCTGGGGCAAGGAAAGCCGGAGTATTTATGTCAGCTGGTTTAATGGGACGATGAGATACAGCTGTGTCAATGGAGGAAAGTGTGGCACTGGGCGGGGCTCTGAAGACACTACTGGGGACACAGAAACAAAAGCACAAGCACATGGCAAAACAATAACAAACAGGGGAATGACATCAACATGAGGAGAGAATATGGGGGAAACAGAGGGAAAAAACACCAGGGTTAGACAGGGATCCTCACACGATCATCTTTCGCACCACAAGATTATAAACATTGACGCACAAACATCTTGATTAGCAGATGATGTTATCCATTAGTTGAGTATACTCAAAAAAGCTTTTTTAAGTATTCTCAACTTTTATTTTAGAGTGTAGCAGCTTGTCTGTAGTTATTAGTCACTTTAATGCCTTAACTTTCACACTTTCTAAGTCAATAATGTTACAGACGTGAATAAATAGAAACGGAACTTGGTCGCTTTGCTGCTTTTGTGGTGTGATTATAAACTAACTTTTATTTAGTTGTGTTTTATGGAGGAATCAGCATCACGCTGAAGGAGAACGTGTGTGGTGACAGTCATCTACTGTTGCTTGGATTTCGTGTAATATTAGGCATAGGTTACAGTTAAATAGCTTTGCTGTTGGGAATTTATGGAGAGTATTGGTAGAATCGCTGCCTAAAGATTGCCATATTAGTTTTAGCTGAAAGTACACGGCTTAACGGATTTGTTTTGAATTTTAAAATTACCGGAAAATATCTCTAACTGAAATATATCATCCTCTGGAGGAGAAGCATATCTTCCTAAATTAAATGAAATAGGAAGATTACCTTCTCAATCTGTATTTTATACGTTTTGGGGTTTTTAAGGCTTTACTGCCAAGTGCAGAAGGTTGCTAGGCAACGGGAGCAGCGGATGTGATGCTGAGAAGAAGCTGATGACGCAAGTAGGAAGTCCACCCGTAGGCCAGACAGTCTCATTTCAGAGAGATTTTATTTCAGGCGTTACACAACGTTTTTTCTTTTTGTTTGTCTGTTTGTTGTTGGATTTATTTATTCACCAGTAACATATTAACTTATTTTTACACAGCATAACACTCACAGGGGTTTCCCTTCATCCCCACAGTTTTTTTCCAAATAGACAAAGTTATGAGTTATTAGCAGAGGTGTACTAGCAGATGCAAAAGGTAAAATGTGGAGAATGTGATGGGATACACCTGAAATAAAACTATCCAAGCAAATTATATGGTGTGAAAATGCTCCTCTCATCCCATCGTGTGCAGAAGGGAGCAGCGGCTGTGTGAAAAGACTCTGTGTGCTATTATCACACAGTGGGGGTGCTCATGCAGGATATCAAGTGGAGCTTTCTCTGGGAATGCAAATGCAAAATACCCCAGCAACAACCACAGCACCCGCCAATGAATTTCTGGAGGTTTTGGAACGACCTATTAGTGTTCTAACTAAGAAGATGTGTTTAAGGTACATGCCAGAAAAAGAAGGTGGTTAAAACAAACTTAATTCTTAATTCTTCCATCACTGCCATTGTAGGCTCTATTGGTCTTAAGCAAAAACAACAAACACTGCTTATAGTGTATAGGCTTAATTTGAGACCAGTGGTTGGATTATGAATAAATTTACTGATATGGATTAAATCTATTTAAATGGAATCACATTGTCATGGAGAAGGTCATTATGAAGCCTTGAATTTGAAATTTTGCTCAGCAGCTCATTAACAAAAATGTGTTTGACATCCAAGTATAGCCTATAACATTTAGGTGAAAATATTCAGCCCTTTCAAATGATCAGCGAAAGCTAAATAGTTCTTTTGCCGATTTCTGCAGGTTTCAACTTATTAGATCTAACAATTCAAAGAAAAAGGGCTGTTCGCACAGGGAAATAAAAACATTTGTTACAGATGCCTCGTTCTCAATGTAAGTCATGGGTGTCAAACTCAAGGCCCAACTCGGCCCGCCGGATGACTTTACCATTGTGAGGATTATAGAAAGACATAAATTGCATTTCTATAAAAGAAGCTGCTATTCCTAATCGTCCACTGAGAGTCGCACTCTTTGAGTGACCGCATGCGTTAGACCAGGGGTGCCCAATAGGTTCGATCACTAAGGACCTCTTAGACCTCTTGGCACCTAGATGCTGGGCACACGATTTGGGATCGTAGCTTGTGAGTGTTGGGGTCAATTACCTCTCGGTAGAGCACCTGCTCTCGGACAATCAATTTCTTCCATTGTTGGAGGATCCTTCTGGTCTTATCGGTCGTAGCCCTCTTCTCTGGCCCTCATACCTCTTGATGATGGCAATGTCTGAGTCATCTTGTTGCCAGTTTCCCCAATCGCTGGATAGTGGTGCCACTCAGTCCTCTTGGTCGAGTCTAGCAGTGGTAAGGTTGACCCTAGCAGATGCTCTGCCTGTGGACATGGACACCTGGGGGAACCTGGACAGGGCATCAGTATTAGAATTCTCTTTTCCAGAGCGGTACTTCACAGTGTAATCAAAAGAGGCAAGTTGTGCGACCCATCGCTGTTCCACAGTACCCAGATGAACAGTCTGTAAATGAGCCACTGGATTGTTGACTGTGAAAACTACAAACTTAGCCCTGGTCAGGTAATCTTTGAATTTCTCCGCAATAGCCCTATTTAATTCAAAGAGCTCTAGCTTGAAGGAGCTATGGTTTGCGTCAATCCGTTCTGCCGGATGCAAGCTACGGCTAGGATAAGCTATTACACGCTCTCTGCCCTCTTGCATTTGGGCAAGGACAGTCCTCTGTTACTGGCATCAGTATACACTACAAAAGGCATAGCGAAGTCAGCATAAGCTAGGATTGGGGCGTGGGTTAGGCCAGCCTTCAGTTGCTCAAATGCAGATTGGCATTCTTTTGTCCAAAGTATCTTCTGGGACCCAGACCTTTTATCAGTGGGAATACCTGCTAATAGCGTATTCAAGGGTTGGGCAATCTTTGAGAATCCCGATACAAAACGCCTATAATAGCCTGCCAATCCTAGAAAGGCTCGGACCTGTTTGATGGTCGTTGGAGGACTCCATTCGGTGACTGCAGACACCTTCTCAGGATCGGGACGGACCCCTTCCCTGTCAACCACATGCCCCAGAAACTTCACCTGTTTCTGCAGAAGATTACATTTGCTGGTTTTAAGTCCATACTTAAACCCATACTTCTCTTAAACACCTCTTCCAGATGCTGCAGGTGGGAGGTGAAATCATTTGAATAAACAATGATATTATCAACGTAAACAAGCAGTGACTCAGTTAGTTGACCGCCAAGGCATCGTTGCATAAGGCGCTGAAAGGTAGCAGGGGAATAACAAAGGCCAAATTGCATCCTATCAAATTCGAAAGGCCCAATGGTGTTGTAAAATCTTCTCGCGATCTTGTGGGCCCATCTCCACCTGCCAGTACCCACTTGCCAGGTCTAAAGTCGAAAACCACTCAGCCCTATTGAGGGTGGTAAGGGTCTCTTCAATTCTGGGGAGGGGAAACGCATCCATCCTGAGTCACAGAATTTAATTTCCTGTAATCCAAGCAGAACCTCAAACACCAAGGTTTACCAGTTGCTGCTCAGTTAGATCAGGACGGTCAACTAAATTGTTCACCCCGCAGTCAGGATTTAAATCTTCTGGGACCTCAGAGGCCTCCACGACACCAACCTAAACTACACGCTCGCAGTCTTGTGTCAAGCTCAAATCCTCCTTTCCATATAAATCTGTCTCCTCTACTTGGCTGATAGTTCCCAACTTCTGGTATCGGCCTATGGACAAACTGTATGGGTGAGGGTTTTCAAACACGAACAGGGGGGTCTTCCTTTCCTTACCGTTACCACAGTTCTTGCGGTTCCAATGGCACCTTTTTTAGACGCTGATCCTGCCGACAACGCCAAATGTATGTCACCAGCTGAGGTTTAGAAGAAAAAAAAAGTGTGTTGCCAACAACACCACCTAGGTAAGAGCTAAGAGCCCTAGGAAACTCGAAATACATAATTAAAAACAAGGTTCTTTCGTTTGGGGGAGAGCAGTGGAACAATGACCCAAGAGGAGACAGGGGCGGAAATACTAATAAAAAATGATTTTTTTTAATCCATTAAGATTAAAATATATAAGGAAGCTAAAATAGTCTGTCCAAATTTATCACCGCAGCAGAGCGAAGTTCTGCGCGTAATTATTCCACCGGTTCAGACGTCTGACTGCCAGCTGCGGCTTCTGCTGCGTCTGATGCTGCTGGTGCTGGTGGTGCGTCTGCTTCTGCTTCGTCTGCTTCTTGTTGGGGGAGAATTGTTGAGCCTGCATAGGGTGAGGCTCTCAGGAATGTGACCTTTGATGTGAGCCGGTGACTTAAGACAGTCCAGGGTGAGATAAGACACAGATGAAATCATACGTGCCCTGACTGACCTTTAGGTTGTTGTTGATTGTCTGGGTCCATAAAGGGAGGGTCACGGGGTCACCCCTACATCATCTGGTACTTTGCCAACATTCCTCTTGAGGGGTGGGCTCTCCTGTGCTGAGGCAGCACAAACCTCCCTGAAGTGTACATAAGCTCCTGTTCTCCTCTTTAACTTTGTCAGATCTTCCTGCTCCTTTTGGGGGAAGGAACATCTGTCCCTTTTCAGCTGAATTGTAGTCATTCGACTTCTGTCTGTGCTTACGACTTGTGCTTATGATTTCTGTATTCTTTATCTTTTTCCTATATTCTAGTTCACAAAGCAAGCTCAAGATACTTTTGATTTCTCACATGGGCTAAATCCACAAATTTCCACTACACTTCTGCTGTTCGCATTCGCTCAAAACTGCGTTGTGTTCCTATTCCCCTGCTCTCTTCAGTGTCCCCTTTTCCTGTTTAAAAATAAGTCCCGCGCCCTGGCCTTTCCCCATTGGTCAATTTGTCACATGCCGCTAATTGGTAGCTTGTCACTGGGGACGACGATCTTAATTGATGGAGGATACAACGCAAACCAAAACTCAAAGCACACAAGAAATCGTTAAACATGCAAACAATCATAATTTATAAGTCATAAAACATGCAATCATAAGTCAATAAATTGTAAAATATGCAATCAATAAAACATGCAACTGTCACCAATCGTCCACCCTGTGACATCAGCAGCTTTGTAGACTTCTGGCGCTCTTGGGACCAGGTCATCAACAACTGCACCCGGTTGGCCTCGTAACTGCTTCGGATCGAGGACCAGTAGAAACAGTCCGCCATGCTCACTTAGTGGCACAGGAATGTTGCTACCCGCTTGCCTAAATAAGATAACGTGTTTTTAGCAGGGACCACGCATTTGATGTTAGAGAAACGCATGTCCCGAGACAGCAGTGCGGAGGTCCATCAAGTTCGGCCGGCCGACTAATTTCCAGCCAGGCGCCCTGCGTGCACTGCAGCCGCTATGCGACTAGTCCTCCATCGGCAACCATCAAGTTATCTGTTTGAGGGTTACACTTTTGCCGCATCTCTCAAACAAGTATTTGTCTTCCCCGCAGGTACATCCGAGTCACACCAAAGTCACAGTTAGTCTTGAGCTCAGCCACCTGCATACAGCACCCGGCCAATGGCTGTAGTGTGAGCCCAGGAGCAGACAAGTAGCCGTAAAAGGCGTCCCTCCGATAGACGGCATCCTCTAAGAGAGAGATTGTGCAGATGAGGAAGGTCCATGATTCCATGAACGTTGGCTTGGTTAAATTATATTTTTCTAAATGTCCTCTGAAACATTAATAATAATAGGACTTCATATACTATTGTTCAACAATTGCTCTATCGGTCTGGTTATCGGGATTTACGCGGCTCAATTGTTGAAAGCTAACGTGAGGATCCCTGTCTAACCCTGGTGTTTTTTCCCTCTGTTTCCCCCATATTCTCTCCTCATGTTGATGTCATTCCCCTGTTTGTTAGTGTTTTGCCATGTGCTTGTGCTTTTGTTTTTGTGTCCCCAGTAGTGTCCTCAGAGCCCCGCCCAGTGCCACACTTTCCTCCATTGACACAGCTGTATCTCATCGTCCCATTAAACCAGCTGACATAAATACTCCGGCTTTCCTTGCCCCAGCTGTCAGTCTGTCCGTTAAGCCACCCCGGTACCTCGGCTCCGTGAGTTTTTCTGTTGCAGCCCTTATGATCCTGCGATAACCCCTTGTTTTTCACCCTTGCCGTCCAGCGTCGAACCTCGGAGATTCACCTGGCCGAAGAGGTAGCCAGTTAGTTCCACGGAGGTCAGCTGAGCACCTACATACTCCCGCGTCAAGCCTCGGGTGTCACGCAGTCCACAAAGGAAAACCCAGCGCCAACCGGCTAGTGGCCTTATGATTCCTGCCAATGAGTCTTGTATGTATGTTCTCTCCTAGTGCTAAACATGTTGTAAGCGTCCGGACCGTAATGGAGCTCCACTGAGCAGGTCAATGGAACACTTCTTGCGCTCTGTCGGGGCTAGGGCAGATGTACTGGATGAGTGACAAAATGAGCTCCAACTCTGCATTACATACCGACCATCGGTATGTGGACTAAATAATCCTTACTAATGTAATTGAATGTATGCATGGGCCCTGAGAGCCAAGAGTCCCATGCCATTCTCGGCTCAAGATGGGTATATCCACAGGCTGTGTTCTGGTCTGTATGAGCCATGAGTATGAGTGGTCTGGCTCAACAGTATTCACCCTGCTACTATAGATCCAACTCTCTTGGCAGCTTAGGGCAAGAGGCAAGCTGAGATGTGTTGTGGCCAGCTGCATCGGCTCTTCTGCTGTGGAGAAATGAACAGGGGAGCTACGAGTTCGGCATAGACAATTAGAGGCTGGGCCACAAACAGAGGATGGCCTGGGCGGTAGAATGGCGAAGGGACTATGTTGCTCTCTCAGTTCACAAATCAAAGCGTTGACACCGCATGAACAGTGAGATTTTCGTCACCGTAAAGGCCGGAAATCTCCCTAATTTCGGACAGTTTCCGACAATTTGCAACCCGCGCACGTCTCGTTTGTCAGTGCCACAAATTGTCGGAAACGAACCATGACGTATGTGGAGAGCTGGCGGAGGTGCGAATGGCCCTAATTAACATATGAATGCAGCGAAGCCGCGGGTGGCCGAGCGGGATTGAATATCCTTACTTCTTACTGGATGAAACCACAACTTTCAAACAAGTAAAATCACTCGTGATTGGTTGGCAGATCTGTCGCTATTGGTCACCCGCCTCATTGTATTTATATATATTGTTACGTCCAGTCGCTGGGGGGAGACCTTTTTTGTTGGGTGAAAAAGAATATTTATTCTTGGAGTCAAGAAACAAACACAAGAGCGTACGAACTGAGGGAAGGGGCCGGGGGTGCCGTGTAAATCAAAAACCGAATAGAACAAAAGGAGGCCTTCAGAAGAAAGACTATGCCAAAACCAACAAGTAACAAAAATCCTTACTTACATTAACCAAAACATAAAGATACATCCCCAACGGCGCCCCTGCTCCTAATGTGGCTAACACACGTTCTGTGAGGTGCAGAGTTTCAGTGGTGCCTGGCCCTGGCCCTCTTTCTCGCTCTCAGTCATTCTCTGGATCTGGTAGCCGCCCCCAGCTGCAATTCGTTTGGCCTTTTAAGCCTGGCGCGCACTCCAATGCCCTCTTCTGGTTGGCTGGGAGTCTTCCAGGCAGATCCGCTTCGGTCTTCCCTCTGCGTTGTGGGAGGTTGCAGCCTGACTCCCTGTTCACCTGAGGTTGCCGTCGGCAGCCGTAACACCCCCTCCCATAAACACAACCTCCCCGTTATTTAACACATCACACAAATATAACAAATACCTCTATCTTACTGTAACCGGGACAATGCGTCAGCCACTATGTTATCAGACCCTTTCTTGTGGCAGATCTCCAAGTGGTAGTCCTGCACAATCAGGGCCCATCGCATCAAGCGCTGATTATGGTTGTACATGCGGGAGAGAAAAACCAGAGGGTTATGATCGGTATAAACAACAATTGGCAGGGAGCTGGATCCAACATACACCTCGAAGTGCTGTAAGGCCAACAGCAAAGCAAGTGTCTCCTTCTCAATGGTGGAGTAGTTAAGTTGAGGCTTAGTAAACTTCCTAGAAAAATAGCATATTGGATGATCTATTCCCTCCGCATCTTCCTGTAGGAGAACCGCTCCGGCCACCACGCCGCTGGCGTTCACCTCAAGCTTGAACGGCGTGGCAAAATCTGGAGCTGTTGGCACTCCTCTGTCACGCCCCCGTGCTTTGAAGCTGCCAAATGCGATCTGACAGTCTGTAGACCACACAAACTCTACTTTAGGGCTCAATAACCGAGTTAATGGCTGGGCAATAGTCGAAAAGTTACGGCAGAAAGCTCTGTAGTATCCTGCCATTCCAAGGAACGACCGTAGCGCTTTACGCGTAGAGGGGGCGGGACAACCTGAAATGGCACTTATTTTTGCTTCTACAGGGCGCACCTGTCCCTACCCTACCTGTCTTCCTAAATAGGTGACGGTCGCTTTACCGAACTCACACTTTGCCAAATTCAACGTGAGGTTGGCTTGGGCGAGTCTGCGGAAGACCTGCTCCAAGATGCGCAGGTGCTCCTCCCACGTCTCTGTGTACACAATTACGTCATCCAAATATGCGTTACAATTAGTTACCCTAGCTAACACAGTATTAACTAAACGCTGGAATGTGGCGGGTGCGTTGCACATGCCATTACCTTGTACTGCGCAAAATGGTCAGGAGTAACAAACGCCGAAATCGGTCAAGGGTACCTGCCAGTAACCTTTTAACAGGTCAAGTTTGCTTACAAACTTGGCATTCCCCAGATTATCGATACAATCTTCCATTCTCGGTAATGGGTACGAGTCGCGCACTGTAACAGAGTTCACTTTACGGAAATCGGTAATGAACCGCGGCGAGCCGTCGGGCTTAGCCTCCACAATACAGGGTGAACTCCACAAACTAGAACTGGGTTCAGCAAACTCATTTTCAAGAAGATATCGCACTTCCCCTTTCATCAGTTCTCGCTTAGTTTGATTGGCACGATACGGGTGTTGCTTTATCGGACGCGGGTCGGTCAGCTCAATATCATGTTTTACTAAAGTTGTTGTGGTCGGTACATCACTAAACACGCCGGTAGCCCTACATTTTTCGACAAGGTCGATTACACCCGGTCTATGCTCAACAGGTAAATGTAGTAGCCGGGAAGGTAACTGCGCTATGGCTTCCGAATTAGGGAGTCTAGTGCCCAACTGGACTGGATGACGCGGCCGCAAATCATCACAGGCGTGAGGAAGCGC